AGATGGGTAGAAGAGACAGTATATAATTATGTATACACATATATGTGTGTATATGTATATGGTTATACTATTATTAAACAATTGTTATTGTTATTGCCAATTACTCATTCCAATCAGCATGTTTTAATGTATTTTGATGTGTAGTAATGTTTTGATTTGCTTTTGTATCTCTCGAATTTTTGAGGCAATCTTGAATAAATTGTAACAAATAAATTGAATCTTTAAATTCTATCGAGTATGATTTCCCACTTAAATTTTCTAGCAACCATAATAATGATAGTTGACGCAACTTTACGTTAGTTAAACATGCTTTGAAGTTTCGGCGGATTGAAAAATAGTCATGACAACATTTTGTGTCTACTGTGCCAATGACTTATAATGTGTAGGCCTGTGTGTTTTTGTGTCATACGTCATCGGCATAAATTTAAACAACCATAAATTGTACGTGTTTGTTCCAACGTTTACTGTCTTTTCATCTCTTAGATTTCGAATTTGGAGAACCAAATAATGCTAATCATCAAGAACATTGTATTGAATGTGTTGTACACGGACGTCAAGTAGGCAAATGGAATGACATCCGATGCGATGAAAGACGTCTGTACGTGTGTGAAAAATGTATGTGAACCTATTATTGTTGAGCACATGTTCAGAAAATTATTTCAATAATTTTCTTAGCTCTGAAATTTATTTGGTTCTATAAGGAATCATTTAATTTGATAACCCATATACAGTACTTCCAACTGATGCGATACATACATTGTATAGTAATTTTTCAATAGTGAGGATCCAAATCTAAAAGTGTGAAATTGTCTTGATATGACCTTAAAAGAAAGACATATAGTTATACATTTTTAAAAAATACAAGAAAAAGTACAGGAACAAAACATACCAAAACACAACGAGAACATAATCGCAGGTACATTAATTATATTGTTAAATTTAAGAAAAGGACTGTTAAAAATATATATTTTTTCAAGTGAATTTATGGTCCAATATATGAAGCACCTCACGCTGATGGGCATTAGGAGATCGACAGTAGATTTATTTCCTCCGTTTGGACAATCCTACCACATGGCATCGATTGTTACCTCCGCCAAAGGAGGTTATGTATTCACCGCTGTCTGTCTGTTAGGCCCTATAAAAAATTATTAGTTTATCACCCTAACAAAGAATAAAAACTGATGAGGGAGGGAGGTTTTTGTTTTTGTTTTTTGTTTTTTTTGGTAACCCCGCCCCCATAAATTTATATTTAAAAGATATTTTTTTTTGTTTTACCAGCAAACATATTTGCAAGAAGTCCTAAGCTTTTGAAGTGAAAAAAGATGGAAAAATGACCGTTTGAAATATAAAAAAAAATGTATGTTGATTGAAAAAGAAAAAATCAGAATTTCCCCAAAAGTGATGAGGAAGGGGGTGATAAACTAATAATTTATTTTATGGGGTCTTAGCAGGATTACGCAAAAGCTAAGGGATGGATAATCACAAAATGTAGAGGAATTAAATGGTACATAACAATGTAAAAAGAGATAGGGCCTAATTACATATTGGTGAGAAAAGGGAAATTTTATTGCGCATAAAACAATAAGGGAAAATATACAACAATCCTATATCATGGCCCAGAAGAGTCACACGTAAGGAGAAAAGAAGAACAACATAGATTAAACAATAAAAAACCGAATTTTAAAATATATGATAATTATAACAATCCTATTTAGTCAGTTTTTAGATAATGGGGATTAATTCAGGATGGTTTTATTTTGTTTGCGTGATAGATACTAAAGGAAGCAATTACAGGAAGTTTAGATATATTGTAGCGGAATTTTAAAAAATCAATCGGATTTTTGCACATTTTCAAAAATTGTTTTATTTGTTTTTGTATTGCGGAGACAGATGTCTCCACGAGAACCCACCTCAAAGCAAATCAACTTGACATTGTAGCCAGAGTCACTAATGTCCCTAGTCAGGGGTACACACTTCTTACATTTCGAAGGGAACCGACAACTCGAAAATGACAAATTTTTTTTCAATTTCTTCCAGAACAGACAGAGATCTGGGATTAGTGTTGTTGCACACTCGGAGGGGAAGGTTAAACGGGTTATATGATTATTGACTCCGTTCCCGAGGTCAGATTTGATTTTAGGAGGGTTGCTCGTTTCGTCAACACCTTTATTAAAAATATTTATAATATAGTTTAAATTTAAAGTATTATTATGTCTCCACGTGCGAACACCCTGTTCCAGGGACTGTTTGCAGTTGTTAGAGTTTTACGATTTCCACATGACTTAAAAAAAATTGGAAGTGAATTTAAGAATTTAAGCGTATGTTAAGTGTGTCACCTAAATAATTAAAAAGAAACATCAGCACACCACTAAAAGGTTGTAAATTATAGTCTTCTAGTGGTGGCGTGACTGTTCCAGTGAATGAAGGTCGACGAAACGTCGCTGGACCAGGAGCCCTCTCACGTGGTCGTTCTTAAGGTTTTAGGTGAGGTTTGGGATCTTTTTGCTTTAAATTGCTTAGATAAAAATTTGCTCACATTTTGGTCAATGTACTTTCTTGAGCGAATCTACTGTCGACACATTTGTTAACAGTTGCATCACCTTCTAACCTCGAGGAAAATATGAGCAGTAAAACATTCTTCATTAAAATGCAGTGACAAAAGCCAGTGTGCCAGGATGTGGGATGCCAAACCACCTCTTCATGTACCGATTAGTTAAAGCATCACGCTTTTGAAGATGGGTACACACATCCTTGACAGTTAGATGGTATTGAGGCTATTAAGGAAGTAGGTCTACTGGACAGAGATTTGAATCTTGTATTCACAACGGATTGGGGAGCTATCACTTTTTTTCCAACACCTTCACTGATCTTTTTCTCTAGGTGTTCGAACACATCAGAATCTTTATTTCTAAATGTTACCTTTGAGCCCAGCACTTTCGTCTTCGCCGATGATATAGTGGTGTCACCAAATCTTGAGGGAATTTTCGTAGTTTTTCGTTCCAAGAGAGCATTGCAATTTGTGGAATAATAAAGTGTGTGAATAATCTAGCACAGCTTCCCGCTTGGAGCAGAGGTTGTTGCATAGCGGTAGAAACTTAATATTAATGCCAGGGTCTGCGTCGCTTGCGATAATGCGGATAGTGTAGTCCGTTTACCATGAATGCATTGTGAGACAAAATGTACTAAAATCACAAATTATTATTTTGTGGACTTTGCAAAGGCTTTTGACACTGTTGAATAAATGTTTGTTTTAAAAGTGCTTGCAAAAAAGAATTTTGGCAAACAATTTATAAACATGGTGAATACGTTATATAATGGCGTTCAAAGCTGTGTAGTCAATAACGCTTGGACTTCCAGGTTCTTTTTTTTTTTTAGAAAGATGGCTTAGGCAAGGATGCCCCCTCTTCGCACATCTTTTATCGTCATCGCAGAAGTTTTAGCAAATCGAATAAGAAATAATAACAATATTACTGGCATAGGTTTGGAATCAAACGGCTACATAAAAAATGTAAAACTGACACAGTTTGCAGACGACACCACGTTTTTCGTTGCAGACAATTCTTCAGCAGAAAATGTTATTAAAGTTTTACAAAATTTCGGAACCTTTGCTGGCCCAAAGTTAAATTTAAATAAAACGGTTGGCCTAGCTCTAGGGAACTTTACTTCAAACACGATTAATTTAACAAATACTCCAATTAAGACCTTATGTGTTTATTTTGGTGTTGATATGAACGCCTGCTATGAAAAAATATGGAACGAAAGAATAGAAAAATTAAAAAATTTAATTACGTCATGGAAAAGCGAAACCTTAGTTTGGTAGGTAGAGTAACAGTTATCAATACTTTGGGTTTATCCCAATTATCTTATTTAGCATCTTCTATCCTAGCACCATCTTCTGTTTTTAAAAAGATAGATTCAATTATCTTCAAGTTTTTGTGGAATGATAAACCTGATAAAGTATCAAGGAAAATTATTATTTGAAAAACCATGCCCCCTAAACATGGCGGCCTAAATCTACGATAATTTCGAAGTGTCTATGATTCTTTAAAAGCAAGCTGGCTGAATAGAATTTTATTAAGCAAGGGTAATTGGAGTATACTTATATATACCAAAACATTATCTGAACAAAATGGGTACAAATTATTTACTTACGCATATGAATTTTGAAGATAAAAGTACTTTTCCATATCTTGGTGTTTTACCTCCATTTTACCAAGATGTTATATATGCCTGGCATAATGCTGAAAAGCAAGTCTCAAAAGAGCCTTCAAATGCGGAAGAAGCAAAACAACAGATCATTTGGGGTAATTGTTTCATACAACAAAACAGTAAATCAAAAGTTTTAACTCTGTTTTTTAAAAATTGGGTAGATAGTGGGTTCATATATATAAATGATTTATTGGATGAAAATGGAATAGTATGTGCTAACTATATTAAATGTAAACTTTAAAACAAGATAAATTGGCTTGCGGAATTAAATACTATTATGGAGTGTATACCTAAGCATTGGAAACAATGGTTAAGTTTTTCAAAAAATAAAATAAAAATACAAAAAAATGAGAATGTAAATTCTAATACCAATACAAAATACTTTTATTCGAAGACTGGGGAAAATGTAAGCAACCCAACATTGAAAATGTTTGGAACGTAAAATTTCAAGGAAACATTGAATGAGAAAAAATTTGGTTATATAAAATTAGCAAGTTTAAAGAAACGCGAATTTCAAGCTTCAGTTACAAGCTGCTGTTCAACCTAATACCATGTAGGTTAAATTTAAGAAGCTGGAAAATAGTAGATACAAGCGAATGTAAATATTGTCATGTAATAGATGACTACGAACACATGTTCGTGTCTTGTTACCAAATTAAGGCCTTTTGGAAATGTTATTTTAAGTTTCTAGAAAGAAATGACGTATGCAAAAGTATACCTAGGCCTACTTTAAAGCATACTGACCTTCTACAAATGATAATCGCTGGCCATAAAATAGGTCAAAAACAATTTAATATGTTTAATTATTTTGTTATCATAGCTTCATTTTGTATATATAAGTTCCGTATTAAATATTCTGATTTGAATGCTAAACAAAATTTATTTAAATTGTTTAAAATCGAATTAGAACTCCGAAGTAAGGTTTTCGATTTAAATGTATAATTATTCTATGAACGTGTACTCGTGAATGTGTATGTATTTATGAAAGAATATTTTTGAATGAATGAATAGCATATGAGAATTTTCTCTAAATGCTGGATTAAAATCATGTATATAACTCTATGGTAATTTAAAATTTAAAATTAGGTTATAACGTACATTTTTTAAATTATGAATATAATGATATGAAAATATACAATTCAATTATAATTGTTTGAAATTAGGAATATAGACTTTGATTAAAATGTATATTTAACAAAAAAATATGAATGATGTTTAATAAATGTCTGGAAAATGATGAAGAATATGAATAAATGTGGCTTTGCCACAAAAGAGAGAAAAAAAAAACACAAAAGCTGGCATTATATTAGTTATCGAACTCATATTTAATCATCAATTAAAATTTACAAAGAAAAATAAAAAAAACATCATAATAATTACGTTAGAAATTAGGATCAATGGTTTGTAAGTCGAGACAATGGAGCCTGTTGACCGAATTTTTGACCACTCACAATTTTTGATATACCCAATGACTGGGTCGAAATTACCTACCCAAGATTTAACAAAAATTGCCCAAAATTACCTAAGCTTTCAAAAAATGCATTTAAATTTGAAAAAAACCCGTGTTTTTCGCATGTATAGTTTCCCTTTTAGTTCATTCTATAAACCATTTTTTTAAATTGTTTGTGTTAATTATTAAAATTAATATTCATGAGGTGATAATACGAATAGAAAAATACCCCCTCAGTCGGCCAGTAGTGTTATTAATAGACTCAGTTACAAAGTTTTATTATGTAATGTATTAATTAGATAAGATCAATGGCAACGCAAGTCACAAATAAACAATTCTTAATCCATGTTTATAGCAATTAACAGTCAATTAACAATGTTATGTGCACTTCGTTGAGTTTTGCTTACTTGAATGGACTGAAATATACTTTGTTACTTCTTAATTCTTCCTCTAGGACAAAAACCATACCCAAGAACACACGATTAAGGGCCCGTTCGAGCAAAAAACGCCAACCATTCCGTTTATTTCGCCGGGTAATCGCGCTGAGCACTCAGCGGGTGGTCGACCGTTCGAGCAAGTTTTAGCTCACGGTAAATACGTGTAACGAAACTACTCCGGAAGAAAATTTCAACCTATACAGCTACCGATAATGCTGGAAATTAAACAACAACGTTAAACAACATTAAGGCGCCAATGTACCACAACCATTGAGGTATAAAAAAAACCTCCCTGTCTATGAAACTATGAAATGGGAGTCTGACAATGAGACTTGCCAAAATATATTAGCCTATGGGAAAAATATTGAAATCAATACCAACGGGTTAGGCCTAATGACAGAATATAATGGAATTTACTTTTCTCAGATCAAGATACAACTGCACCCTCGTACGGATCATCTTGTCCGGATGACATACACGTGATAGCTAAAAATAAAGCAGTCTCTGTGTATTGGAAGCCTCCTACGTGGACCGATGATTCCTCTTGTCATCCCACCGTAACCAGCTCATATTCTTCTGGTCACGTGATACATATACCGGATAATGATTTAAGTGCATCTATCAATGTGACGTACACAGCTACCGATAATGCTGGAAATTCTGAAACATGTTACTTTCGAGTAACTGCATCATGTAAGACTTGTTTTTCATATTTCTGTATTTTAACCTGATATGTACGGAGGCGTTTGCTGCCAAAGTAAAAATATTTTTTGAGCCATTATCTCGTACGTACGAGGTCATTAGGTGGTACGTACGAGGTATTACAGTATCTTGTACGTACTACCGGTACTTAATATCTCGTAAGTACGAGATTATGTCTCGTTCATCCTTGCAGGGGCGGATAAGTTGGGCCGATCGAGACAACACTGACCTCGAAATGTTTGTGCTCTATACGCCCGGAAATAACATTTGAGGTATTCTGGGCTATCATTCTCATAGATGTGTATAAGGGACAGGGCCGGCTCCCCCTAAATTATAATATGGATACATTAAAGTGAATAGAGAACATGCATATTGCAACGATTCGATGAAACTCTGCAATCAGCAATTTGCAAAATACGAGAACCCAATATTTTCATCTCTGTTTTGCATTACTGATTATCATTATCGCTATCGCTGTCGTCATTGTCATTGTTGATGATGAAAATTATTCATTAGCATTCCAACTGTGGCTGCGTTTGCGTTTGCATTTGTAGTTAACACACCAAGCCGCTCTTCGGCCTTTTCATTTTGGCAACAAATAAAGAATAACAACAATTATTAGGTGCACTGCAATCAAATAGAAAACAAATACTTGACAAAACCAATTAAATATGGAAGACAATACCATGGAGTAGCAAAAGCGAAAACAACACTGCCACCAACATGTGCTGCTTCCAGACGTGTTATGATGTTCTGCTATGTTTTTCAGATACAGGATGTTTGACTCCAGACAGTTCCGGATACCCAGGTCTGCAGACTCCAGTCAGTTCTGAAAACTTAGATCGGCAGATTCCAGACACGTCCGAATACCCAGGTCTGCAGACTCCGGTCAGTTCTGAATACTTAGGTCTGACCATTGGAATTTTCTGTGTTGGTATCATTGTTGGCGTTTTTGGAGTACTTGCTGTATCGGTCGGCTGCAAGAAGTTTAAACAGGTTTGTCAGATAATTAAATATTTCTATTTGAAATAATAATAATAGTTATAATAATAATAATAAAATAATAATATAATAATATTAATAATAATAATAATAATAATAATGATGATGATAATGATAATGATAATGATGATCAAGATGATCATGATGATCAAGATGATCATGATGATCATGATGATCATGATGATCATGATCATGATCATGGACGGTATGTTTTGCATATTTTAAAATGTTAATCTCAATTTAGGTAAACTTTAATACCACTTTTTTCACGGTCTTTTCAGACCCCGACACAGACGTCCCAGACTTACATGGGATACGTGGCAGATGTTCATAATAAAAATAATGAGCATACATATGAAGATCTACAACACAAAACTGAAGAAGAGGCCGCTTACGCTACTATAACCACATAAGAGAACAGCGTATTATATCAACTCGAGGGTGCGCGCTCGCTTCGCCTGCTGACCCTCTAGTATGTGAACGTCACGGTTAGTTTCGATTTGAAAAAAACAATATGACCACTAAAAGAAGATAGGTTGTATGGTTTTGAAGGCAGTTTCATAAAGCAGTTTCGTATAATTGTTCATAACAGAAATATTTAGGAAACACTAAAATGAGTTGAAACAACAGTAGTGTTACCTCCATAATTTTCCTTAGAAAAAGTTCTATGTTCGCACTAAATTTAAAATTGACATGATTTGTAATTGGTAGGTCTAAAATATTTCATAACATATTTTGGTCAGGGGCAGGTAAAGCAGTTTTACTGTAACTAATTGAGAACCCGACAACCGACTGTGCTTGACGAAAATATACTGTGTTTACCGACTGTTCCTGAAACCCGAGTGTGTTTGAAAAACGACTGTGTTTGAAATTTTCCTTTTTGGAATTCCATAATAAAGCCGCAGAAATTAACATTGAATGTTGCTCTTGGCGTTCCATATAAAACCACAAACGGTAATACAGCAAAAGACACGTGGCAGTGAAAAACGTCTGTAAAATTCATTATTTTTTCCACAATTAATTTGAAATATGGATTGATATCACTTCGCACGGTAGGGACTTTGAGGATCTATGTTGTTACAGTTTTTTTTGTATACCTGTAGGTTTCTAATCCGAGACGGTTTTTTAGGCTCTCGGTCTGTTATGATTTCAGGCCTTCAAATAAACGTAACATGATGAATAAAAAGTATAGCCGCGTTAGTCTGTACAGTATAGAAAGTATAAAGTAAAAAACAGCAGCACTTTTGAGACTAACAATATATAATTTAATAAAAATAAACGTAAGTAAGAGAATAAACGTAAGTAAGAGAACAACAGTAGAATAATTCTAATAGGAAGTCGAATAGAGAACGAGAAATACCGTAAAACTTTTAATACGAACTCAGTTTGGTCTATAGTAATCCATGCTGTAATGGACCTTTCCGCTAAGCCCCGCCCCTTGGAAATTTTTACTAATGTCGAACCAAAACAATATCATAAATGTTATAAGCACGTGTGTTTGTGGGACAACGCGTGTGCTTGTAGGCCCTTTCATGGTTGGTTGGTCAGTAGTTGTTGGAATAGTAACACACCTAAAACGATAGGTCTAATAATAACCACCCTTGCCTACTTGATTGATCGTGATTTTACTGTTAGATTTCATTGATGTCGTTGAGTCGTTGTTGCTTGATGAGATTATCCTTGATTTCTGTTTCGGCTTATTCGTTAATAAAAGTATTAAGGTGATTCTTCGCAGTGTTTACAAAGTTGTCGATATGGGGGTTTCTTCCCATTTTAGCTGTGAACGGCTTCTTAGC